TTCAGGAACCCTTCCAGTCCTAAAAAACCATGTGTCTGAAAAAAATAAATAAAAGCAGACACCTCTGATAAGACCCATTTCTTTTTCATAGAAGCATAGAAAATTTTTCCTGTGCCTTAGCACCGCCTCTATTTACACAGCTGTACTTTGAGTTTTCATAAATACCTTCCTGTCTTAGCAAGCTGTTAACACTTTCCCTTGCAGGATCAGCCTCACCAGTGCACAAATGTTATGCTACTGCCTTGCAACACAAATGCATGCCAGCACAATGAACCAAAGCAAATGATCAGGTGTTCAGTAACATGCCTGATCTCACCTGTGTCCCCCTCCTTGCCTTCTAGGATGATTAGGCAGCTCCAAAAATCAAATTTTGGTGGTGCTATCTATTCTCAGGGGCACACATGATCATAAGGTATCTGTTTCACATGCCCTATCCCCAGTCTTGGGGTGGTGCTGGACCCTTCCTACTCTTCCTAAACTGTGTCCAAGCTCCCTGAAGCTGAGTTGCCTGGAAAACATTCTGGCTTGCCATAAGCTGCACCTCGCATGGTCAAGGGGCAGCGGGGCAGGCCCTACGAAGAGAGGCCAAAGGGCCTGAACCTATTCAGCCTCCATAAAAGAAGGCTGAGAGGGGATCTGGTAGCTGTTTACAAACTCACAAGGGGGGACCAGCGGAAATTGGGGGAGGCTCTGTTCCCCAGGTGGTGCCCGGGGGTTACTAGGAATAATGGCCACAAATTGTTAGAGGCAAGGTTCAGGCTAGACATCAGGAGACATTACTTTACAGTTATGGCTGCCAGGCTTTGGAATGGGCTCCCAAATGAGGTGGAACTTTCTCCTACCTTGGGGGTCTTCAAGAGGAGGCTGGACAGATATTTGGCTGGGGTGATATGACCCTGGCACCCTTCCCTACCTGGGGTAGGGGGTTGGATCTGATGATCTGTTTAGGTCCCTTCCGACCCTAAGTACTGTGATACTTTGATACCTGTAACTTCCAATGACAGTCTTCAGAGCAAACAACACTGCTCCTGTAACCAATGCCACACATGCAAAACCCTGCAGAACAGCCTTGCCTACAAATGCCTCTGTCTCCCAAGGACTCTTTTGCTGCTGATTTGCAGTCTCTAGCACAGAGGCCAATTCTTTCTGCTTCTTGCTTCCTATCAAACCTGCGGTAGGAGAGTCTTACTTAACTTAAGCAGAACACAGCATGTACCTTTGTCCAAACCACGGACCTCAGGCACATTGAGATCAAGTTGCAGTCCTGTCTTCCTTGAAGTTGCTGCTTCTGCCTCCAGCACACCTGTACCCCTGGACACTACTTTGCCTGATCTGGACAAACAACTATCCCCTTGGTCAGCAGTGCAACAAACCAACCTCCTCCTTAAAACAAACCTATCCCCTCCATCAGCAGATGCATGACAAATAGAACCAAGGAGGTGATACTTCCCCTCTGTGGCATTGTTCAGACTGCAGTTGGAGTACTGCGTCCGGTTTTGGGCGCTGTACTTTAAGAAGGATGTGGATAGCCTCGAGAGGGTCTAGAAGAGGAGGGCCACTTGTATGATTAGGGGTTTACAGGCCAAGCCCTATGAGGAGAGACTAAGGGACCTGGACCTCTTCAGCCTCTGTAAGAGAAGGCTGAGAGGTGATCTTGTGGCTGCCTACAAATTCATTAGGGGGGGCACAGCAAGGTATAGGAGCTGCTCTTTTCATCAGGGTGCCTCTTAGGGTAACAAGGAACAATGGTCATGAACTGACAGAGCAGATTAAGGCTAGACATCAGGAAAAAACTTCTTCACGGTGAGGGTGGCCAAAATTTGGAATAGGCTTCCAAGGGAGGTGGTGTTGATAATAGGTGGTGCCCTCCACTACCTTGGGGGTCTTTGAGAGAAGGCTGGATAGGCATCTGACCCCAGCGCTCTTTCCTGCCTAAGCAGGGGGTCAGACTCAATGATCTGTTGAGGTCCCTTCCAACCCCAGCATCTAGTTTCATAGTAGCTAGGGTCAGGAGGGACCTCAACAGATCATCTAGCCTGACACCCCGCCCCCCCTATCTATGAATCTATCTATAAAAGACTCTGACACAAACGTGGTTACTTAGCTTACAACCCTGGTTGGAACTACCATATAGTTTCACCTTACAAACAGGTCTCCACCCATAGTTCCACAGAGTTACCTTACTACAAGTCTGGGCTGACCCCTTTACAGAGGTTCACTCTGAATCAACAGATTCTGTGATTGGTCAGGTTACTGCCAAGTCCTGGTCTCAGGATCCCAATCACCAATTGTTGGCACTGGACTGGGTCCTAGTCCCTGAGTCCGTCATCTTCCCCATTCCAGCAGAGTCGCTATGACAGGGTACTGTCTTTGGCAGCATTTTTTTTTTTTTTGTAGGCCAGTGAGTGGGCACCCATCAAGTCTTACTATATTTTCGTCCCCTGGGGATCAGCTTCCCACCCCACTTTACTCTCCTGCCACGACTTGATGTTACTCAGTTCTTAAAAAGAGGGAGGCTGACCCACAGGTTCCTAGAAAGTCTCTTGGCTCACCACCTGTAGGATAATGAGCTGTTGCCTTAAGGGCAAAATACGCAATCCTACCTCTCCTTGATGTGCCCTATGCCTCACATGTTTTATAATTTTCTCTTTATGTTGGGGTCTCAGCTGCTGTGGGCTTACCCCTCTCTCTCTAGCTAGGCCTGTCAGTCAAAGCCCACTAAGCAGGGCTTGATTCCGAGGCTCTAGGTCTCTAGGCTGCTCGGGCTCATGGCTCTCTGTTTCATACCCTCCATGACACCAGGCCTACTGGCCCTTCTACACTGCGCCCCTGTGGTGCCAGGCTGTTGGGGCCTCAGCCCTCTCTGGCTTTGTCCCTCCTGTAGTTAAGGCCTTTTGCCTAAGTCCACCTACTGGGACCCGACTTCAAGGCTCCTATCTTCCCTTCAAGTGACTCTGGGCTCATGGCCCTAGTGCAGCAGGGCTTCTTGAGCCCTCTTTCACGGCGCTCCTCGGCGCTAATGAGGTTGCCTCCTCCCCTACAGCCTCAGCCACAAACCACCGGCTTTAACATTAAACATAAACCATAGTCCCCTATGGCTATATAATGAAAATAAAAGTAGGAAAAGCAAACTGCCTGCTTACATGTGATTGTGCTTCTGTCTCACAGTGTGGTGCATTCTTCCCAAGGAGGCTGCCACAGCTGCTCCATAGTCATTGGGAGTTTCCCTCTGCACTGCTCCCCTGGCCTTTTCCGCTTGAGGTTTATGTGGTTCTGGCCTTTCCCTTCCTGTCACCTGTCTAGCTGGCAGGGCTTGATCCTTAACCCCTGCTCAACTGGATGGCTGTGCCTGGAAGGATCTGGATCTAACGGGGCCACTCTGCTTTCTGATAACAGGGCTAGGGTTCCCTGTTACAGTCACCAATTGTTGGCACTGGATTTATGACCCAGAAACCTTGTTCCGGGCAGACCCAAAACCCTCAGACTGATCATGACCTCTCCATTCAATAATAGGTGAATTTTTATTCATACACAGTGATAGCAAATAAGGATAAATGCAAACAGTTCTGTATCTACCAGTCCCACAGTTCACAGAGTCAAGTTACATCTGGCCAGTACACAAGCTTCACTCTGAGGTTCTCTCTTGAATGTCAGATGCCAGCAGCCTGGAGGTCAAAGGCCCAGGCCCAGCCCCCTGTAGTGGGGTGGATGAGACAGACTGGTGGTATGCTCTCTGTCCATGGTGGCCTTGGGTTCCCTTCTTGGGGACCCTTTGCTGCTCTGAAATCCCTACTTCTGTATTCTTTCTTTTCTCCTGATGACTCTTCGCCTTTGGACATTGTTGATTGGTTTCCCTGTGGTTGTCATACTATCCATGTTCTGTCCCGTCAGCATATTCCTTTGTTTCACAAACCCATCACATGTACACATCCTAATTTGGGCTCTTACTGGCCTCCTCCTAATTTAATTTATTTACCAAAAACAGAAATTTCATGAGCTCTGCAGTTAGGCCACAATGACAAAAACAGTGACCAGGCCAATGCGTCAGAGTCCCTTACCTGATGTTATGGAACAGTGCGGTACATGTATTCAGTTTCCCAACCTCTGTGTCTGCTTGCTGCTTGCCTGTCAAACAGTAGGCCTTGAAGGAACTTTGTCACAAACAGGCTTTTAGAAATCAATTAACCTTGCCATTGCATTATTCTGATGTATATCTACTTTACCTACAAGCCAATTCCCAAAAGCAAACCTTTAAATACCATTTTCTAGCCATCACTACTTATCCCTCAGTACCTAAAAGAGGAATTATTTGGGGAGAGAAAAGAAGTCTTCCATATTAATAGAAATAGGCCCAAGATTCTGTCTTTCCCCGGTCTATTTTGAATGAGTGTCTCTGCTGCTTCCTACACCCCTCCCAAACAGAGATGAAAAATGCTGGCTTAGGATCCAGCTGTTTTCCCCTCTAGGAGTATATCTAGCACAGTGGTCTTCAACCTTTTATGGTGAAGATCACTTTTAGGGAGTAAAGGGCACCCCAGGATCTACTGTGCCCTCCTGTGCCCCCCGCTGGGACATGCGTCCTGCCACTGGGCAGGTAAGGGGGCAAGACTCAGCTGAAAGAAAATGTAGAAATAACAGTATATAACAGTAGGTGGCAGGGGTGCGGGTATGGCCACAGGGAAGCTGGTTGACGGCTCTGGGTGGCTGCTGCAGGGGAGAAGGGTCAGGCACGCAGCCAAGATTGTATCCCAGGTCGTGCACCCGAGGGGCTGTTCAACTCTTCTGCACCCCTGGTTGTCCTGGGGTTCCAGGGGCAGCTCCTTCCACTGGGTGCAGTCTGGCAGAGGCCCCAGGGGCCACTGTCGTCGTCGTTGTGTCTCTCCCCCCCCCCCCCCCCTCCCCTCAATGGGGCTGGGGCCCTACTTGCCTTCCTCTGCTCCTGGTTGAGTCGCAGGTCAGTCCCTCACCACGGGGGCCTCAGTCTGGCCCCTGCCCCTTCCCTCACCTACTGATTGACCTGCTGGGGCTGGGGGTGGCAGGGGTGTGCATGCATGCACGCCCAGCTGCCCCACCCCCAGCCCAGGATCAACCTAAAGAGGCTTCAGGATTGACTGGTCGATTGTGAATACCAGGTTGGTGCTGTGTAGGCTCTTACTATCACCTATTGAGCAGCTCAAACCTTAATATTGGATACACGAGGTAGGTTGTGCAGCCTCAATAGGTGATAGTAAGATCCATAACAAGAAGTTTGTTAGAGGATAGGTGACAAGATCTTCTAAGAAACATTCTGGAGAGAGCTAACCTTCCATTCTTCCAAGAGCTGACCTTCCCTTAAATTACTCTTAATTGTTTGGCCAGGACTTGTGCTTTGTGTGGGGTCAAAATGCCACAGGTGTTTACAAGGTAACTGGAATATGCTAACAACACTGTAAATGCAGTTGGAAAAGTCATGTCTTGCAGTATTTCAAATACTTCATACAAGTGTTTGATTTATTATTTTAGCCCTAGAAAGAGTCCTTCAAGGATAGTGAAATCGGAAGGAGGTTCTCCTCAGTCTGGAAAAAGGTCTTTTCCTACAAAGGAGTCTTTCAGTGCTGAGATGTCTGGTAAACCATCCTGTTCTACAGTAAACTCGCTTGCTCAAACCGTTTTGAGGAAGGAGGGTGAGTCAACTTCTTAAAGCATCTACAGATTTTAGCTAGACCTAAAATGTCATGTTTTTATGACTGCTGTGTCTTGTAATGTGCATCTATACTTTCTAGCACCTTCTGTTGTCTTCAATTTATATTTTTGTCAATCCAT